GGGCAGAGCCTCTGCTGGAGGAATGTGTCTGCTTTGTGTTCTCAGCCCTGCTAACAGGGCCTGGGATGCTGTCAAACCTCCAGCCCCGGGCATGTGTGGGCCTCCTGCTCATGAAGATGCCCTTTACCTGGTGCTGGTAATTTTTTCCACTGGTCAGCAATGACTTCCAACCTTGGAGACAGGAGCCAGAGCTGCTGACTGAGCTTCTGTTGCAGAGGAAGGAGATCTTATGATGACTGCATGTCTGGGTGCCTGTCACACATCTTTTAGGAGGGGTTCTGGAGCCTGCAGTGCCTTGCAGATAAAATTCTGGGGTCCCTGGGTGGTATTTGATGCTGTAGCCTGTTATTGAAAGGCAGCTGCTCTGTGCAGATGTTGGGCCAACATGCCATTGTTGGTTACAGCCAGGAAAACCCTGGGAGATGCTCTCCACCAGTGGGTGACAATAGGCACAAGGTGCTTGCCCAGTTTCTTTAGCAGCAGCATCAATCTCAGTTGATCATCAACTAAATCTTGCAGAGTTTGTTTCCAAACCTGTGTTTGTGATGAGAGCCAGCAATGCTTGGGCAGAGATGATACAGCATGGCTTTCCCCAAGTGCTGCCTACACAGAGAGGGGTCTGTGGGTGGCATTTCCCCTCTCTGGGGCTGGGGACACTGGGGACAGGAGGAGCATCTCTGCTGACACAGCATGAGCAGCTCTCAGGGCTCCCTTCTGCTAGCCCTGTCCTCTCTGTGGCTTGTGGTGGGCTGACCTTGGCTAGATTCAAGGTCTTCTCCTGATCCCAGAAGGAATCTTTACCTTGCAGGGTCTGGGAACTTCCCTCAGCATGGCCTTTCCCTGCTGCCCTGGGAGTTACAGAGATTGGGATGTCATTGATTTCCCCTTTTGGGGCTTGCTTTGACCTTTTGCAGGTCAGAGGTGTAGAATAAATGCTGCTCTACAGGAAAAAGAATAGCAGGATCCATCTCCTAATGAGAACCCCCCAGTAACAAGCCAGGGCTGTGTTTGGATTGGGACTGGAGGCTTCAAAATTCAGGCTGGATTCAGCCTGCTCTGCCTCTCACTGCTCACACACTGCATTTTCCTGCCTGCAGTGATCACAGGGATGGGTGACACCAAACTGTGTCAGATGGCTGTTGAGGAGGGCCATCCTGTCCTGTTCTCCTGAGACACAGGAAAGTTTCACACTTTCCTGCTGGGAAACCATAAGTTCATCCTTTGTGTTTCCCTGGACTTCACCCTGCTTGAGGAAGGTCAGGCTGGAGCCGTGGGTTCAGGGCAGGCAAGATAATGTACTTTATCATTGATTTTCAGTGAGAAGTTGCATTATGAGATTAAATGTCTGATTTTTATTGCATGGGGAGGCAAAGAAAAAGCAGGAGCTCTGAAAATAAAGCCTAAGTCCAAGTGCAGTGTTTGTGTGGGGAGGTGCTTGTGACTGGGAGGGAATGTGCCTTTTTCCCAATCCTTTGGAGGTGAACTTTGAGAAGCTGCTTCCTCTGAGGCTGGTAAACAAAGTCAAACCTCATCTGTGTTTAAACCAGTGCCTAATTAATGTGTCTAATTGGCCCACATCTACTAATTCCAGGCTGGCAGGGAGTTTATTAAAAAGCTTTTCTAGTTCTAATGGATTGAAATAAGCAAAGCTGCTTAGCAGTCTCAGATGAAAAGCACTAAACAGGGACCAGTTGTGTGGGTCTGCTTGAGTCAATCCCAAATCCCACCAGGTGTCAGCCCCTTCCCTGGTTTCACCTGCAGGGTGCTCCAGCTCTCTGAGGGCTTGGGGAGCATCCTGATGTACTCTGCTTCTTTTGGTTATTTTTAAACACACCAAATTGATGGTTTTGTTTGCTTTAGTAAAAGCATCAGCTATTCTAGCTTTAATGCCATTTATACTTAGATTATAGATAGCCTGGCAAAGCCACAAGGTATTTCTAAAGCAATGGATTAGTTAATTTCCTGAAAGTATTAGGTGTCAGGGTATGGATAACAACCAGCTGCAGGTGCCCAGGTGATGTCCTTAAGCCACAGCAGACTCCAGGCTCTGCTGGGCTGCCCCTAGCCAGGGAGCACCATGAGCTGGGCACAAGGAGAGATCCCTCCTGTCTGCATGCAGGGCCATGGCAATGCCTTCCTCTGCAGACACAGCACCCCTGACTGCATCCAGGCTGGATGGAGCGTTTGCTTCTGTCCCATGACTCCACAAATCATCCTGTAAAACATCCTCCTGCATGCTGGAGCTGCCTTGGAGCTGTCCTTTGGCCATGCCCAGAGTTACTGCACGTTCAGGAAGCTCACAGCTTTCCCAGGGCTCTGAGAATTCCTGCTGCCTCCTTCCGGGGCTCTTTGGAGCTTGGATGGCTGCAGGCACTTTGCTCTGCATTGTGATGTGGAAGCTCAGCAAGGGAACCAATGAAGCATTGGATGTAAACTGGTTGTAAATGCAGATTGCCTCCACGTGCTCTCTCATGGAAGTGACTTCCAGGTTTCCAACCCCAGAGCAGCTGGACACAGTTCCACCTGTGACTGTCTTCAACCACCTTACCCAGTACCAGCCGGGCTAAAGCTCATCATGCCACCTCCTAATAGCCCAGAACTCATTAGAAAGCCTTTCCCAACTACCTTTCCTACCCAAAATGGGTTCTGTGAGGGGACACACAGCCCCATCTTCCCACCCCGCTCCCCCCAGCAGCCTGATCTGCCAGTGCTTGTACACAAAGCCGACCTGGGCTGGAAATGCTGACAGCACTCTTGAGAGTGGATGATCACAAACTCTATTTTCAGCCTAATAAGTTTTTTATATGCTTGGAAAGCTGTCAGTTGAACATCAGCCAGGCACAAAGTACCTGCCATAAAGTGCCTGGACCACAACCAAACGGGAAAGGTGCTGCTCTGCTTTAGCAACTTCTTGATCTTGGACGCTTTAGTTCAGTTCATTTATTTTGTTTGAGGATCTTGGCTTTAATTATAAAATAATAAGATAAAATCATAATGCCTCTACATAAAAATCTGTGGAAATATTTGCTGAGAGCTGTTAAATCAAAGCTGTTGGTCAATCAGGATTGGGTTTTGGGGCTGGGAGAGTCTGTGTTGCTGCTGCTGGTGCCAGCGTGGATTGGTTACTGCCAGGAGACCCTGGATCCCTGGGATGAAGGAGAGAGGCTTTGGGAGTGTGTCTGGAGAAGGGTCCTGCTTCTGGGTGAGGTGAGTCTGGAACTGAGCTGCTGTGGCCCCCAGCACAACCTCAGTGTAGGAACACGGCCCCAGGGAGAGCAGGGCTGGAGCCTGGGCATGCCTCTGCTCCCAGCAGCATCACGGTGCTATAAATGACTGCCCTGCATCACAGCCTGTGGCACTGCCAGCAAGGTCAGGCCTGGGGGGGACAAAGGCTCTGGGAAGGAATTACAAATATGTGAGGCTCTTCTGGAGGGTTCCCCGCTGACAGCTTTGCCCCTGTCCTAGGAGGCATGGTAGCATGGCTCTGCAGGGATTGGAAAGGTCCTGGACAGCTGCAGGGATCCTGAGGGACACCCCAGGGGGAGGGATGGGTGTAGGAGCGTCAGGGGGTAGGACGGTGGGGATGGACGGAGACGAGAGATCTCTGCAGCCAGGGCTGGAACCTGGGGTTTATTGCAAAGGGCCTGGGGGCAGGGCCCTGCTGGGAGCTGCCAAACACAGCTCAGAGCAGGCCCGAGAGAGGAGAGGGGGAGAGAGGATGAGAGGGTGAGAGAGTAAAAGGGTAAGAGCATAAGGGAGTAAGAGTAAGAGAGAGAAGTTCCTGTTCCAATACAATAAATCTTCTTCTGTGTTGAGTATTCTAATTCTCACTAACCAATCTAATACAAGATACAAATCCTTTAGCATTTACATACAGCCTATAAGAATCATTACATTACCATACTGTTACATTTTAAACCCTAAAAACTTCTCTTTGTACTCCTGCCAAGCTGTAGGGTCTGCTCTGACCCTTGGACCTGTCTGCAAACAGGGAATTGTCTCATCAAAAGGGAATTACCTTCAGCTGGCCATGCCATTATTTTCCAGTTGTTAAATAACTAAGGTATCTCAAAGCTTGCTTTCATTTCAATCTTGCTTATAGTTTCTATATTCTCAAAATCTTTTGCCAGACAATCATATTTATAAGGTTTTCCTGTTTCATCTTCCCCAACAGATGGGCTCTGCCATGCTGGGTGCCCTCAGTGCAGGGGTCTCTGTGCACATGCTGGGTGTGCTCAGCAGGTTCTCCTCACCCCATGGCACTGCCCTTCCCCACCAGGGCTGGTGCTTCAGGCAGGGTCGGAGGTGGTGATTTGAGGAGGGAAACAAAACTTTTGTGAAAGTTGTAAAGCCAGGATGTTTATTACAGAGCTGGATGCATGTGGGAATCGTTCCCCTAAAATGACATGCGTACCTCTGGGAACTCTAGATCCCTTTTTATCTCCCTCGCAAATACATACGCATTCAATTTCACAATAAGTTCATACATATTTATTTCACTGATTTTGCTTGGCACTTCCCTCTAATTCTTCTTCATCAGAAAGAACTCTTGGGTCTGGTTGCTCTGCTTTGTCTGCTTCTCCCTTATCTCTTTCCTTCGGCTGAAGCAGCCTCTCCAAGCACAGGCCCTTCAAGAGAATAGGCATTCAGACTAAACAGCAAGCTACAGACTTAACTCAAAGACGTACATATCACCTAAATCAAAATGGATTTCTGCTCTGGAAAATTTCCACTCTGCCTCAGTGGATGGGTCCTGCGGGGGAGCTGAGCCCCGCTCCGGGCCGGCCGGGGCCGTGTGGGGCCGGTGTGGGGCCATGCGGGGTCGTGGCTGTGGGGGGCAGGGGCAGTGCGGGGCTGTGCGGGGCCATGCGGGGCTGTGCGGGGCCGTGCGGGGCCGTGTGGGGCCGTGTGGGGCCGGGTGGGGCCGGGGCTGTGCGGGGCCGTGTGGGGCCGGAGCCGTGGGGGACCGGGGCCTGCGGGGCCGTGAGGGGCCGGGGCGCTGCCGCAGTCCCGTCTGCGGCCCCCTGGGCTCCGCTTCCCGGGCAGACAGTTTACAGCAAATGGCTCCTTTCGATACTAAAAATAACCCGCTGCCCCACGACTTCAACCGGAGAAAAGTGCATTTATTAGTAAAACTCAAGATGTCCTTTCCTGTTTTTCTCTGAAGAACCGGTGCTGAGAGGCTGATTGACCTTCCCAGCCAGGCACTGCCTTATTTCAGTGCAGGGTTTGATTCCTCCCAGATTCATTTTTCTTCCCCTGCTAGCGATGCTCCATGGCTGGTCCCACCCTCCAGTGGCCAGAACAGCTCTGGGTTTGGGGCCACAAGCGATTTCCCAGCCAAGGGAGCTGTAAATGCCCTGTGAAAGTGTTCCTGCTGCCTATGCCTGACAGCACAGCAGGTTCCCAGTGGGGAATGAGCAGAACAAAATGAAATATCTTTTCTCTTGCAGTGTAAGCACCGTTTTAGGGATGTATTTCTTCCTCCACCTTAAAACTGCAGATTTTACTAAGTCTTGTTTATATACAAAGAGTTTCCAGCTATTTCTCTCCAGGCTTTTCTCTGGAAGGACTAATTGGGGAGATAAGACAGATCCTCTCTGCATTGCAAATGCAAAAACATCCCTGTGTTTGCTTGGCCCAGCTGCTTGTCTCCTGCTCCAGCCCCGGCCCTTCCTTTCCAGCCTTGCCCAGGGGCTGTGTGGTGTCTCTGGGACACAGCAAACCATGGCACAGGAATCCCAGCTGTTCCAGGCACTGGGACACCAGATTTGCCATGAATGTGTCAGAGGGAATTAAATTAACAATAGGCTTTTTTGGAGGCAGACAAACCACCTGAGGTAAATGGAGAAATAAACCAGAAGCTTTCTGTGATCTGAAACATTTAACTGACTTTTGTGTGTCTCTTGAGGCAGGAGCTGAGGCAATGACAGGAGGTGATGCTCTGGGTATCCCTTGGGCATCTCCACACAGGCTCAAGGATGGCCATTTGGGGGTTTCTGGCTTGAGAACCACGTGTGAGCAGCCCCCTTCATGGAGGCAATGAGAACCTTCCCCAGTCTGGGATTGGCAGGAGTGGCTGCAAGTCCACCACTCATCCTGTGCTATGCCTTTGGGAGAGGATGTGTCCTTACTCCCAGCTGAATCTGCTGCTTTGTCCATGAGCCACTTTCTGCTTCTACAAGCCCCACTGGAAAGGAAAATAAAGTTTCAGCTCATGAAGCCCCTTTGCCTCACTGTGGCCCTTGTGCTGATGGTGTCTGCCCTGGGGCACCCTGCCAGAGCTTTTCCCACATCCCAGCTCAGAGCAGTGGGATAGTGGCTACAGGCATGGATCTGCTGTTTCAGCTTTGCACGCAGAAAGATTCTTTCCTCCAACAGCCCTGAGGAAGCTGCAGCATCTCATGATGGGTAGTGCAGACCTGCTGGGGTCTTGGATAGCCCCAGGCTCATGGATAAGCTGCATCCCAAAGGAACTGCACCCCATCTCCTCTGGGCTCTCAGCATGGCACTGTGTGGTCAGCACTACACACTTTCAAAGAGGGGTTTGTGCCTCCCAAGCAAGTAACACTTCATTCAGTGAGAATTCCTGGCTCTTGGCACCCCCACCAGTGAACTGCCCCGGAGCTCTCCTCCGTGCCAGCAGCTCCCCATTGCCATGGGACTGTCCCCCACTGCCTGAACTGGACACACAGGAGTTCTGCAGGATGGGCTGTGCTGGTAGGAGCAGACTGAGATCTGTGGTGGGTGCTCTCCCCACCTCTACTGGGCACAGATGTGCACCCCTGCACCTCGACATCTGAGCAAAGCAGCCAGGACAGGGTTAATCTGTCTCCTGTCCTTGGATGTCCTGAGCACAGCACGGAAGCAGCCTCTCCAAGGAGGAGCTGTGGTGCCTTTGGAAAGCCTGGGAGCTCTCTGATGCTCCTTAGGGTAAACTTTTTGCCCATAAGCCCAAACAAGCAGAAGAATTTCACGCTGGCTGGGCTGTGCGTTGGCACGAAGGGCTCTTCAGGGAGCCAGATCGGATCTGAGCGTCTCCTGCTCATGACAGAACGGAGGTGTTGGGCAAAATTCAAATGATAGCTTCCTCCCAGGGTGCTGAGGAGGCAGCACAGGTCGTGGTGCACCGAGCATCTCCCGGGGCTTTCTCACTGCCCCGCTCCTGTGCTGGCGCCTGCCTCGAGCAGCGATCCGGGGCAAGGAGCTCTTTGCTGCGGGGGATATTTAAAGGAACGGCGTAAAAAATGCCACAACTCTTTTAAACGTGGGCTGGGCGAGTCCTCGAGGACAGCTCGGTGCCCGCAGGGTGCACCGCAGTCGCTGTGCAGCGCACATACAAATGCGAGCGGGGCCGGAGCCGCCGAGCGCTCCTGCCCTCCCGCCGCCCCGGTCCGCGCAGCACGGCATCCATCACCTATTTATAACTGCAGGCACCGCAGGAGGGGCACTGGACTGATGGCTTCACGCAGGCACGCTAAGTGTTGTTCTATTTCTGTGATTTGCTCTCTTCTGCACAAGCTGTTGGTCCCTCGGATGCCAGAGCACTCTGTGTAGTGTAGACAAAGACTCAGCTTTTTCTCTTTTATTAAAATATCCACCAACTGCACCCCAGTGGCAGGTATATTTACTATTTTTCCGAGCTCACCTGGATAATTGCATCTACTATTCCTTCCCAGTCTGATCGATACCCTTGGTAAATAAGATAACCTGTCAGGTCTGTTGTCACTGCAGCCAAAGGTACTTCAGCAATGAAATTGTTTTGCTGAAGAAATAAATGGCTCTCACAGAATCTGAGAATGCTGTGACCTTTCATCAGTGACCTGAGTGACTCATCCCCTTTTTGTGTGCACAATGCAGCCTCCCACCACGCTGTAAAAGATGCTCCACCAAAGTCCTACTGTTGGGTGCCTGCAGCAATGGGGACCCAAATCCTGTGGGAGCCTCCTGCTCTGGCTGCTTCTCCTCCAGCTTCACACATGCTCTGGGCTGAGGGTTCTCATGTTATGGCCATGGCCTGTTTGTCCAACAGGGGCCCCTGCACCATGCCAGTGCCCCAGAAATGTCCCCAGCACCCCCAGCCCTGTGTGCAGCAGCTCCCCTCTCCCGGGCTGTGAAGTCTCTGACACAAAGGCACGAGCCCACATCCTCAGCACAGGGCAGCCAACCCACACTTGTTCAGCAATCAGGGCTCCACTGGCCATATCAAAACCCCTGAACTGAGTCAGAGCCTGATTTTATCTAATGTGTGCAAAATGAAATAAAGAATTAATCAGAGTTGAGTTCTATGCATTTAGATGTTGCTGATAGCAATATTTCCTTCTTGTAGAGTGTTTTGCATGCCAAAAAACCAAACCAGTTCTGCATTTTTGTGGAAAAAAGTGGTTGTACATCTGTGCATCTGTATGTGTGCCTGATATTTCTGCCTGACTGGCTTCCCTGGGCTGTCAGCTCAAAAGTTCTCAGTAACATAACAAACCTTGACTGCATTTGCAACATATCCTCAGCCAAGAGCGGTTTATTTAATGAAGCAAGAAATGCTGCCAAATTTCCAGGCTTGATCCTGATCCCATTAGTGTCAGGAAGAGAATTCCCACCATGTTTGATTTATTGGTTGGGTCTAATTTTGAAAAAGGAGTTAAAAATCTGGTTTCAGCTTGATTTTGCAGAGAAGACCATTGCTCCATGCTGCTGCAGCAGAGAGGCTGTGGGAAGAGCAGAGAGTGCAGGTGGGATTCCTCTCACTTGCTTTTAGACATCTTCAGAGTCTGGCAACAGATAGCCAAGGGAGGGAAAGGGGAATGTTCAGCTGGCCATAAGGCAGGAGCCCAAAAGGGGTGATGATTCAGGAGGTAACCATGGCACAGCTTCTCCAGTGTCACCGGCCCCTTCCTGCCAGCAGAAAATGCTTGTGGGTGGCCCTGCCAATGTCTGGCATAATGTTGGGAGAAGGGAAAGAACAATTATGATTGCTCTCTGCCTTCCTTGCCTGTTTACCCAGTCCCAAAAGTTCTTCCCAGGCCACAGGTGGCACCTGGGACAGGCTGGGTGCTGCCCTGGTTGGTCCAGGCACAATCCCACCCTCTGGTTCCAGGGATAAAGAGCCCTGGGAGGTTTTGAGGGGGGAACTGTAGCATCTTAGACAGGATCCATGTGTGAAGATGAAAGAGCTGGACAGCTTTCAGAGGCGTGGGTGTTTTTTGAGGAAAGGAGAAGAGTTCAGAGCTCTGGAGAAGCCCAGATCTGGAGCACATGTCCAAGGAGCAGGGACTAGGTCTGATCCTAATGTCTCAATCTTCCTGCTACAGAGAGAGAAGATCTCGTTGGTGAATTTATGCTTTATTTTTGGTTTTCCTCTGGATGAGGTGGGAGCTAGACATTTCAGGCTCTGCTGGACCCGTGAGTGGTGCTGAGCTGACTCCTCAGTGCGTGCCTGTCACAGATCACTTCCCACTGGCTGCCTGCAGCCTCCCAGCAGTTTTCTGTCTGCAGAGCACTGGGAAGATCATCACCACTCCCTGAGCAGGCAGGCCCCTGCTCCAGCCCGCAGGCCAGCTGGCTCCCAGGCCCCCATAAAGCTTTAAAAGAAGGCAGACAACTCACAAGTGAAAGCATGAGGTGTTTATTTGCACTGCAGACATATTAACTGCACTGAAAGCCAGCTGTGCTCCCTCCTCTGCCCAGCTAAGGTGGGTCTATGTAGGAGCAGCTGACAGAGATAAATGTCAGGAAAAGAGCACAACATCCGTCCCTGGGCCAGTGCTTTCCCAGAAAGGGCTCATTTTAACTCACAGTCCACTTCCTTCAGCTGGCCTCCAAAAGCTGCTGCTGCTGCAAATCACATTATTGAATCAAAGTGTTTGAGCTGGCCATAGTGGGTAACACTGAGATAAAAATGAAAATACTGCTTGGGAGCCTCTGCTAACCTTAACAGCAGAGATCTGTCACCCCTGGTGATGATAAATCTCACCATCACATCCTGCCTTCACAAGCCTTCATGCCAGGGCTACTTCTCTTTTTATTTGCACATCCAATTTTTACAAGTCATATCTAATGCCATCTCAAGGCTGGATGCAAGATGCAAGCATCCACCTGAAGATTTGCAAACTCTACCTTGGCATTTTCCTGCTTAAAGCAGGAGTTCAGGCTACTGCAGTCATTCACCTTCCAAAATAAAACCCCAACCAATAGCCTCCAAAAACTTTAAAATGCCCATTTGTTAGTTCTGCTATGTGCTCTTCCAAAAGAGAGGAAGTGATGCCAAAAATGTCTTTTTCTTCTGCGAAGGAGGTGGGCAGTAGAGGATCTCACAGATCCTGAAACAGCTCAATCACCCAGGAACTGGCACAGCTTGGTAATGTACTTAAAACCTGATTTTTAAATGAATATTTCTATTTCCAAAGCTCTTCCTCCACTGCAAAAATTTCCCCTCTCAGCTGCTCTGCAATGCAGGACCTCTCCTTAGGCTAAAGAGGGAATGCTGTCTCAAACCCATGTACAGTAGAGGAGGGAGGATGCAGTGGAGGGACAAGGTGTCACTCCCTCCATCCCTCAGTCACACAGGAGCTGGGAAGCAAGGGGATGTTAACCAGCTCAGCCTGCTGCAGCAGGGGCTGGAGGGAAATACTGTGGACTGGAGCAAACGTGATCATCTCTTTCCATAGCCAAAATAGTCGGGTTGAGTAGTTTTGCTTCTGAAATCTGGTCCCAGTTTTCTCTCAGATGCTGACAGTCCTGCCTGTCCCTTGTGTGCACAGAGCCCATGATGCTGCTGTCACCATCTCTGCAAAGCAGGTGGGGGCTGCCCCCAGGGAGGTGCCAAGCACAAGCTGATGTGGCAGAAGCAGGGGGGTGTCAGGTACCTCAGAGCTCGTTAGAAGCCTCCCCCTTACAAAGAATGTCGTTCCTCTTCTCCTCAGCTGCCTGGCCAGAGGTTTTGCTCCGGAAGGGTGGCCTCAGACACTGTCTGGCACTTTGGCTGATGCTTCTCACTCGTGACCTCCAGTCTTTGCTGGTGATCACATAGAGCAAGGGGTTGAGGGCACTGTTGAGGCTGGCCAGGCCCCGAGTCACCTGGTAGGAAACATAGACATCCTTTGAAGCCTGTGTGCAGGACCCTGGTGGCCGCCAGCGAAAAAACAGGTTGAGGTTTCTGAAGATGTGATAGGGGAGGAAGCAGATGGAAAAGAGAACCATGACGAGGATCACCAGCCCGATGCTTCTCCTCCTGAGGCTGGCGTCCACGCTGTCATTCCTGCAGAGCACGAACACCACGTGGCAGTAGCAGCCGATGATGATGAGGAACGGGATGACAAAGCCCGTCACGGTGACAGCAAAGGTGTAGGGCAAGTAAACGTGCAGGTGCTCCTGTCCCGTCGTGTCGTGGCACTCCGTCCTGTTGCCGTCTGCTTTGCTGAAGGCGAGGTCGGGAGCTATCTGTGCGATGACCCAGAGCCACACAGCCACGCTGAGCCACACGGAGGAGGCGGCACCCCGGCACCTGCCCCGCACCTTCAGCGGGTGCACGATGCCCAGGTAGCGGTGGATGCTGATGCAGGTGAGGAAGCCGATGCTGGCGTAGAGGTTGACGTGGAAGAGGCTGCGGGTGATGCGGCACCAGGGCTGCCCGAAGATCCACACTCTGCCTTGGCGGTAGTAGCTGACGAGAAAGGGCAGGGTGCTGACATAGAGCAGGTCGGCCAGCCCCAGGTTGCCCACCAGCAGGCTCAGGGGCTGGCGGGCACCATCGCGGGGCCCCGTGCACAGGTGCCACAGCCCCAGCCCGTTGCCCAGCAGCCCCAGGGGGATCACGGTCAGGTACACGGCTGGCAGGAAGCGCTGGGCGAAGGCGGAATCCACGGGGCAAAGAGCCCGAGTGCCATTGCCGGGCCACGTGGAGAGAGCGTCCGCGGCCATCGGGGACTGTGCTAGCCGTGCCTGGGTGGCAGAGGGTGGCAGAGCTCGGGGGCACCGGTGCCGCGGCAGCTCCGTGTCCTCCGGCACAGGCTGCGGCTCCCCTCGCCTCTCCTCTCCGGCTGAGCCCGGCCCGGGGCTTCAGGGCGCTGGACTTTCCCCGGGACACGGGGAGGATGTGCCGAGAGCAGCCTCGGCCGAGCGGCTTCCGCCACTCCCCCGGCGCCTCCCCCAGCCCGCTCCGAGCCGGGGTCACCCCCGGCTCGTTTGGGGTGCCTGCAGGGAGCAGGAGGAAGGCAGGAGGCACAGGGATGCCTGAGGAGGAGAGCCAAAGCTTTCAGCCTGTTCCTGCTCTGTCCCACTGGCGGTCAGGAGAAACCTCCCAGTTATCCACACCGGGGGATGGAAGCTTGCACCCCATGAGCCGCTCTCCCTGCCATTCCTGGCAGCCTGTCTCCTGGCTGCGAGGCTCACAAATACCGGGAGGGCACTGGAAGTGTTCCATGGGGCTCCTGCTGCCATCGCCGGTGCCGCGGGCAGTGCCAGCAGGCAGAGATGCACCGGGCTGGCTGCCCCAGCACAGGCAGAGTGAGCCCTGCTCAAGAGCTGCCCCCTCCCTACAGCTGCTCCTGCTGCCTACTTCCATCTCCTCCCCAAGCACAAAAACTCTTTCCCCGTTCCTTCTTCCAGCGGTTCCAGACCCGTGCAGGGAGGACGTGAGACGGGCTGTGCCCTTCCTTTCCCGTCACAGGAGGCACCCAGATAATGCGAAACCGGACCAAGGACTAAAAGCAGCGACCCCAAAGCAGACCCCGAGGAAGGGCAGCCCCTATCGCATTGCTGAGCCGCTGCTGCAGCATAAACGGGGCCAGAAGTCACTCGGATCTGCAGGCGCAGAAGCTGACGTGGAAGCAATGAGAGGTTTACCCTGATAAGCCATTTCGACCTTGGGGAAACGACTTGAGGTGAAGGGCTAGGCTCTGGAGAGACCGCGTCCGCTTGCTTTCCGGGAATTGAATCCGGGCAGGGGCGGGAGGAGGCTGGTATCTCACCGGCCAGTGGGGAGGAGGAGGAGGAGGAGGAGGGAGGCTGAGTCCAGCCCAGCCATCCCGACCTGCGTCCATCCCTCCCCGGGAGTGGCGGAGCATCTCCTCTGGACCACGCTCGGGGACACGGTGGGCAGGCCCAAGAGGCAGAAGGGATGGGGGTTAGCTGAGTGTTGAAGGTACCAGTGTGTTTGTTGACTTCAGAAAGCGCTTGCTGGAGCAGATAAGCGGTGGGAAACGTGTGTTATTTCCTGCCGGTGCAGTAAAATCTCACCGTTATGGGTGTGCCGCCGAGAAGGTGAAGTGTGGAACTGTTTCCTTGTGGTGAAGATACGGCTTTGCAGCGGCTTGCAGATGCTCTGGTGGGTGTGTGCAGCTGGAGTGACAGCAGCAGGGGGGTCCTTGGGGCTGCACCCCTCAGGGAAGTGACCCCATCCTGCCCTGCTCCTGCTCCCTTTGCCTCTGTGCACTCCAGCGGCTCCTGCAGCCTGGGCTCGGGGTGGCACTTGCAGAGCTTTATGGAGGTGTAGAAGGGCAGCAAGAGGAGAGGAACAGTTCCCTTTGTCCCAGAGCATCAAACTTTGGGGAAACTGAGGCAGAGATAGCAGCTGGCTGGGCGGGCTTCTGTGATCATGGGTAGGGTCATGAGCTGTTCTCAGCAATGAGGGCAGAGCTTTCCCTGTCCTGAGAATGAAAGCTTGGAGTTGGTGCCTCCTGCTGTGGGAAGAGAGGAGCAGGGCAGGGCATGGGGAGCTCTGTCCATGGGGAGAGCCCCATGCCCTCCACATCTCCTGTTCCCTGGACCCTTTGGAGGCACAATCACAGAGCTTTTCCCTTGTGCCTGCCTCCTCTGTGTTTTAGGTGTTCATTTGACCCATGGTTTCTCTCACAGTCCAGGTGCTGCTGCCAGCTCTGCCCAAACATCCTGCATGAGGATGCTCCCCTCTGGCTCCTGGCTCTGGCAGGCAGCAGCAGTGCTGATGTCAGGATGAGAACACAGGGCCAAGACAGCTCCTGCAAACACACAACCTGAATCGTGTGTTTCCAGGAAAAATAAAAAACCCATTTGATCTACTTTTTTTTTTTTTTTTTTTTTCAGTTGAGCGCTGCATTCCTGCGCTCAGTTTCTGAAAATGTTTCACTGTAACAAGGGGCTCATCCAGCCCTCTCTCACCCAGCTCTATGCATTTAAAAATCATCAGTCATGAGAATGGCTTGGAACAGCAATTCTGATGCATGTTGTTTACTCATCCAGCAGGACAGTTTTCCTTCAGCTGCTGCGTGTGCTTGCACAGAAATGAGCTGTGCTCTGCTGCTCATCGCTGGCTCAGGAGTGTGGTTGGCACATCCCAGGCTGTGTGCAGATGTGCCTTGAGGATAGGAGTGAATTTTCTTTCAGTTTGGGGATTTTTATCCTTACACATCACCTGTGGATGGGGTGGAAGATTCCTCTGTTGCCCCACACGAGCAGGCAAAGCCAGGACCCTGCGTCAGAGCCTCAAATAACCACGTTTCCAGGGTAGCAGGGCTTTAGAGAGAAATATTGTGAGACTAGCAATCAAACTGCAAGAGCTGATTTCCCTGTATTCATAGGGAAAAATAACTCTGATTTATTTGGAATCATTAATTCATTATTTAGATGCTTAGTGAATCAGAGAGACATTCTGCAGGGAAAAAAAAAGATAATTATAGCAGAGGTGTGTTGAGTCATTTGTTTGAGATGAGAATTGCAGGTTGCTGCCTAAAAAGTGACCTTCTGATTTTTACCATCACCCAGAGGTGGCTAGGCAGGATCTGAGAGTGTGTGACAGCCCTGGCAGCTCACCCAGCCTTGGTGGCTGAGTCCCAACATGCTTGAACAAGAACTGGCTTAAAATCAGGATTTTCACAACCCACAATGTGTTTTATCCATGTCAGTCGAGGAATGTGGTAGTTTTGAAGTCTACATGAGCTTTGGGTCACCACTTGTTTGGCATGGCCACCAGAGAACTGAAAAAGCCAACCCAAGCTGTTTGTTCTGCAATTTGCTGCCTGCTGGAGGTTCACCATGTGCCCCACATCAAACAGAATTAATGATTTGTATTCAGGCTGAGCACCAGATGATTGCAGTAAATAATTCTCTTTGTAGGCAATGTTTTACTGGAAGAGCAGTGAGGTTTCTTTTTTTCTTTCTTTTTTTTTTTTTTTTTTTTACCCCCATGAGGTGGCTGAACCGCATCCTTTACTTTCATTTTCTTTTCAGTTCTTGCAGGGCCTGAGGGAATGAATGAGCTGCCTTGGGCCTGCTGCATTTCTGCTGCTGCAGGGGAGGCTTTTCCTTGGGCTGGAGAGAGGAGCTCCCCCTGCCATTCAGGCTCTGGTCCCTTCAGCCCCAGACCTGCCCTGCTCAGGAGCACAGTGAGCTGGGGATGGTGCTGCACCACGCTTGGGAAATCCCAGCCCAGGGGAATGGAGGAAATGTGGGCCTGGCAGCAGGAGGGATGAGCTATAGGGGAGTTTGGGCATTGATTTTTGGGAGCTAAGAGGCTGTTCTGTGGCTGTGGACACAGCAGCAGTGCCATGCCCTGCCCTGCTCTCCTGCACATCCCAGCACTGGAGACCTGGGCACTGCTACAGCCAGGGCTGTGCCATCAGCAGAGCTTGTGGCTGGGTTAGAGTGAAGGATTTAACACAGGATGTAATAAATTGTAATATTGTGTTCAGTGCTTTGATTCACATTTTTTTCTTTTTCCTTCTCTTACTCTAAGCAGCCTGAACTGAGGTGCCTCCAAGCTGCCCCACCCTGTGCCAGGACTTTCCTGCGCCCACCGAGCTGACCCTGAACAGCAGGGCTGGGCTCGCCCTGCACACACAAGCTCCACTCCTGGATGAGCACATCTTTATTTTTAGTTCCAGAAATACCCATCTAAGAAGTCCATCTCTCACCTGGACGCGCCACCCAAACCGCGGCTCCTTCCAGCTGCGCGTTCCCTCTGCACATCTGTGCGAGGCCGTTAGAGGGCATTTGGGTTTCACTTTCCATCACCCAGAAGCACTTTTCACTGGGACAAAGTACAGCCAGAGCAGCCGAGCAGCTCTCCTGCGCCGACTCCTGCGTGGCTGGAGCAGCTCCAGCCCGTCGGGAGACGGCCCCGACTCATCTTTGCGATTTGTTTTCCCTTTTCCCTGCTTCTCCCTTGGCCCCGGCTCGCGGGGAATGTGCTTGGATGGCAGGCGGGTCTGTCTGCTGCTGTCTGAGCTCCTGGCTTGCCGAAGCCCTGCCAAACCACCAGAGGAGGAGGCCAGGCAGAGCGGGAAGGCTCGTGTTTATTCTGGAGGGATGAGGGGAAGGTGAGTTAGAACTGCCATCAGCAGGACCCTGCCCGTGCCCGGGAAGGCAGGGTGGGTACCGTGGGCTGGCTGAGCTCCTGCATGGCTGAGCAGCTCAGCCTGGTGTGGCAGTGACTTGTGGGGTCACAGGGAGCTCGATGACCCGCTCCCTCCCTGGGGGGCCAGGGCATGAGGGCTCCCTCCAGGGATTTTGGCTTCCAGGTGCTGGAGATGGTCTCTCCTGAAGTCCCTGCAAAGCAGAGCTGCATGATGTGGCAGAGAAGCAGCATCACCTCTTCAGAAGCCTCACTGGGCCAGGAAAGGACCAATTCCTGGTTTCTTGGGTGGTTTATGCTTGGAACAGGATTTCCTCATTTCTCATTTCATTCAGCCTAAGGAACTCGGAATGCTGCCCAGTACCCCTGCCTGGGGCAGTGGGGTGTGCAGAGGAGGCAGGTGATGGGTGACACAGGGATCTTGTTCTCTTGTTTCCAGCCTCCTTTGCAGCCAAAGTCCATCATTTCCTCTCTGTTTTCCCAGTGGAAACACCCTCCATCTTCACCATAACCACAGTGCCATGGGTTTGTGCCAGACTCTTTGCAGGATGAGGCGTTGGCTCCAGGGTGAATCCAGGGTGGGCACAGCTACAAACGACCTCCTCTTGCCCTCTGGAAAGGCAGAATGGAGATCAGTGGGGACATGGGGAGGGCTGGTGGTGTGTCCCCTGCATGTAGCATGGCAGTGCAGGGGGAAAGAAATGGGCAGAAAGTACCACCTGCACACCAGAAAGGCAGATTAGCACTGGGGATGTGCCAGGCTAAAGGGGTGGCAGAAGCACCTCCCGTGTGTGCCCAGGGAGCTAGGCAGGAGCTGCAAATCCATCTCTGGCCATGGGGGCAGAGCTCACCTGCATGGCATCCACAGTGCTCCTGGATTCAGACATCCAGAGACCCCAACATTGTGGTCAGCACCTCCATCAGCTGTTTCAGGAGACGGCTCGTGTGTCCTGAGACACGCTCAGCTCATGGCTGAGGAGGGCTGATGGGGGCCCACAGGTCAGAAGCATTGCTGGCCCTTCCCTTTGTCATCACCGTGTGTTCCCCCGGAGGAGCAGCCCCCCAGGCTCACTCACCGCGGGCAGCGCTGCGGGCAGGGCCGGGCAGGGCCCGGCCGAGCAGAGGCGCCGCTGGGTCTCCAGCCGGCATAGGCGGTTCTGGTTGGACACGCGGCTGGCAAAGCCCAGCCCGCAGGTGGCCGAGCAGGGGCTCCACTCCGTGCCCCACGGCGGGCAGGGGTACCGCAGCAGCGGGGACACCGCCCCGGGGGCTGCAAGACACAACACGGGGGAAAGGGGGGTTGGAGGCAGGTGCTGTGCACGCTGTGGTGCTGCAGGCAAAGAGGCCTGGGAGGTGTCCCCTGCTGGTGTTTCACAGCCTGGGGTGAAGGCGCCATCCCCAGAGATTTCCGTGGGCATCCCTGTCGCAGACATGTTTTCTGAAAAATCATTTCCTTAGAACTTTTCCTCCTGAGAAGCAGAGAGGCCCCAGGAACAAAATGTAAACAATGGTTATCTGCTGCTGTGGAATGCAACAGGTGCATCTGTGATTGGCCCATGTTGGATGTTTCTAATTAATGGCCAATCACAGTCCAGCTGGCTCGGGCAGAGAGAGTCCGAGACAGAATGTTATCATTCTTTGCTATTCTATTCTTAGTTAGCCTTCTGATGAAATCTTTTCTTCTATTCTTTTAGTATAGCTTTAATGTAATATATATATAATAAAATAATAAACCAAGCCTTCTGAAACATGGAGTCAGATCCTCGTCTCTTCCCTCAACCAAAAACCCCTGTGAACACGGTCATACATCCCCTCCCTGGAGTACTGCCCTGCATCTCACCTGCCCTGGCATCGCGGGGCAGGGGCTGCTCCCGGGCACCTTCGCAGATCCACTCGGGGCAGCATTTCCCTGGGATCTCCACGCGCCGGGGGAAGGGGCAGTCGGGGCTGGGCAGCCGCACATCCTCCTGGCACAGCGGGATGCAGGTGAAGCCCCCGTCCAGGCAGTGGCACTGGATCTTGCAGCTGGGCTGGAAAACCTCCCCGTCTCGGTAGAGCCGGCCGTTCACCTCGCAGCCCTCCTCATCGTCCTCAACTGCAAGAGACAGCCGGGGAGCCCGTGAGGGACAGAGGGACAGAGGGACAGAGGGACAGAGGGACAGAGAGATGGGGATGGCAGGGGCACTGCTGGGGGTAATTGTGGGGCTGGACAAAGGGATAGAGGTGGGGAACCACAGAATTGACCGAGCAATGTGCAGGGCAGACATGGATGTGAAGCAGCATGTTCATCACTCAGTCTCCTCCCCTTTCTCTCCTCACTCTGTTTTTTCAAAGTAACAGCTCACAAACTGTGAGAACACCCCTGCCCTTTGGCTCTGACCCTGCCTTCAGGATTTCCAGGCTGGGAAAAGTTTCTCTGAGATTCCTCTGCAGGACCCCCAGGCTCCAGCCTTGGCATCCCTGGGACCCCCCTGTCCATTGTCACTGAAACCATCCTGAATTCTCAGACAGAAAGCAGCACAAGAGCCGGGGCACAGCCCCACGGCCAAGCTGCATGCACCATCCTCAGGAAAGCTGCTCTCCCAGCCTCACCCACTCCCCTGGTGGTGCTGCGGGGTGTCTGTAGCCATGTGAGGCCATGGCTGGAGCAGGGCTGTGTGCTGGGCTGGACTCTGGGGTACCCCAGGGGAAAGGGGGCACTCTGTGCTCACAGTTGCAGGTGCCT